TAATAATCTATTTGGTTCCACTACTGATAAAAAAGAATGCAATGCCCACATCTACCAAACAACTGACGATATGTTACAGGCACTAGCATAGCTCATGAAACAATTAAAACCCGTCACAGGGTTCTTGTGGATGGTGTAGCAGTTAGGTTTGTATGACATCTTACTTCAAACACACTTAATCATACTCACTTTGAATCAGATGATAGCTTAGCTGGAAGATACAACTTCCGACTCAAAACCTACAAAAAGATATCTGAATTATTAGTGCAACAGATGCAATATTAATATTTTAGAAATATGTAAGATGAAATACAAACTCATAATGCAGCATTTCATTTGTGCTAGTGCATAGAAGAACAAAGAAGATTATAGATATAATATCCCTCAGATTACTGATGATGACGGGGTTTGAGAAGAGTCTTCTGTCCATAGTCTAAAATACCAAAAGCAGAAACCTTGTGTCTTTTTTATCAGCAAAGAAAGCATGCAAGCACCAGACTCATGATAAAGCATAACAAAAGCATGTTCAACCACTTCCACACTTGTTACAAATGCAATTGAAAAGCAAATAGAACCCATAATATCTAGTAAAAAAACACATTACTACCGTCAAAAAAATTCTATTTCTAAGAAAATTAAGACAAGGCCTCGTCATTGTGAAAGCAATGAAGAATTCATATCACTTCCGACAAGAGGCAAGCACAAATATCTAAGCAAGAAGTTTTTGTAAAAAACATGAAAATACATGATAAAAGAAACACGTGTTACATTTCTTTCAAACATATATTCAAAATTCCAGCACAAATAAAATAAAGTGCAATTTTTTATTACTTAATCACAAATTCAAACATACACTAAAGATGTGTGATTACTATGCTTGCTCAGGCTTTCATTACATCTGTCGAAAAAAATGATATTTGGGTTTCATACTTTACTTTCCCTATTTATATATTCCCATTTTATGGCTCACTCTCTAGTTATGCGATAACATATACTTTGGAAAGCAATGTGCAAAGATCTATTCCTTTCCTCTCATGATCAAGATGTACTGCCTTGACAATGTACCAGGAGAGGTATACATATCTAGCCAATAGGTGTTTGGGCAATTTCACCTAACAATGAAATTAACCTTAAGGTGCGGCCAAGCCTCGAAATAGAAAATTGTGCACGTACCAGGGGGGTTTCTCGGGCCAATAAAGAATGTACATATAATGGTATATTGTAGTCGTTAACTGTATCAAAACTATAGATGGATCACAGAGTATATTGTTATGAGACAAATTACATGTGCACATGCCCTGTAATAGAATTGTTGAGAATCTGTCAATATAATAAGAGATTCGAAAATACAACTTACAAACCTATTGACACTCATCAAACTCCAAATGATATGTAGTCATATATACAGGCATACACAAACATCGATTTCAAAATTTTGCTTCAAAAAAAAAGTTCAAAATGTAAACAAAAGATTTCATTAACAAGAGAGTGAGGACTGAGGAGACAGAGAAACAAAACATTAAGAAAAGTCAGTTCATGGAGGAACTTTGACATAGAAATAAATATGCATTAGACAAGTCAAGACTAACAGAAATCAAGAGTAGATGAGCAGCATCATATACCTGACTCCAGCTACCAGGTGCAGCACATAGATCTACCACACGCTTGACTCCTGAAAGTCTAACAATATCATAAAGTTCATTATGCCTAAAACTAATTGCATCAAAATAAGAATGTATGAATTCAATCATTCATCTTAAATGAATACAAAGTTCACTTAATTTGCACCTTCGAAGATGTTGAACTCCTCATCAATTTGAAGAAGCTTAAAGGCACTCCGTGCCCGCCAACCTTCCTCTTTTGCTTTGCGGTAGTAGATATCCTATGTGCAATTTATCTCACTAAGCTAAGATAGAGCATCGACAAAATAGAAAGATAATTTAAATCATGAAAACAACAATGGTACCCTTTTATCTCTCGAGGCTTTTCCCATTATCTGCACTTGCTTATCCTCTAGTACATACAAACAACCATTAGATGAGGATTTGGACTCCAATCAGTAAGAGAATAGAAGATAAATACTTCAAACCCCTTATAACAAACTCTTATTTCCAGACAGCACTGTGGAGCTAGAAGGAAATATAAATACAATTAGATAAAACGTCAATAAAATGTTGAAGTCATAATAAGCTCAATAGTCCTTTTGACTAGAGTTGCACATGGTACAGTCCCAAAAAAAGCCAGGCCTGGTCCATATCTGGTCAACGTAATACACAAAAAGCCATATCAATCCTAATCAGGGCACAGTAAAGATCGAACACAGACTGGCAGTCTAGCCTAGTCCGTGACCAGTCCGGAAAAATCAGATTTGGACTAGACTTTTGGTCTGGTCCATAAAAAAATTAACAAATTTAAAATATTAGAAGCTGGGCCTGCTTTTATCCTGTCCAGACCGGTCCGGTCTTTCTCAGGTTAAGAAAAAAAGACCAGTGTTTATCTGGTATGACTGAAAAAAATCTGGTTCGACTGAAAAAAATCTGGTTCGACTTAAAAAAGTTTGCCGGAAAGAGGACAGATGGTAAGGACAGAAGACGTCATGGACCGGTCTTTATCCAATCTGGAACAGGTTCGATCCAAATGCACATACCTACTTTTGACCCATACAAGTTGCAGCAACTTCGTTTTCAGAGCAATTTGCAACATTTCCTTTATCGTAACCTTATAATCTAATACTCCTTTGATACTCAAAATAAATGCAACACTTACACTTTTGAATTTGTCCCATATAAATGCAATGTTCCTTTTCTAGAAAGATCTTTTTCTACCTATTTGTATATTAGCAGCCATTACAAGATATTGATGAGCTTGATCAGTTGATCATGGTCCACAAGTTTTCTCGATTTTGTTTTATTAAAGGGCATATTACGTATTTGACCATAATGCTAAGAGTTCCATTAAACTGTGTATGTTCCAACCAAACAATGCCGCTACACTTGTTTTGAGAACAATGGAGTATTACTTGTTTGCCTATTGTCATCAACTCATCATAAATACAATTACTTGTCTTCATGAAAGGTATTTGAGATATGTCTGATCAGGCTATGCAATTTCATGCGACTGAAAGGGGTAAGTTTAAATGTCTTCCACTTCAGAGTCTTGAGTATTAACACTCCCACAGTTCAAAAAAATAAGAGATGCACGATATGGTGAAGTATATATCAGCATRAGTTTAATAATTGTTCCAAATCCAAAATAAGAGATGCACAATATGGTGAAGCATATATCGATTCACTATGTCAGGTTGTCTATTTGTTTGAAGACTACCAATGACATGCAGATAAGAATTTCAAAAGAAATTGATGCATATACTACAAAATWATGATTCACCTACAAGTTTACCCTTAAATCTATAAATTTTCTCAAATTTAAACAACTAAGAGTCTATTTGTTTGTTAAGACATGTACACATAAAGGCATCTCTCCTGTTAATGATCAATTGTTGTTTGTTTTKTGTTTTGAGCAAACAGTYTGAATGACATAATTACCAATTTCACCCTCTATTTGGATTTGTGGAGAACACGAAAATCAAAGCTTCTATTAGTAATTTGAGTGACAAAGGGATTTGATCAAACCTCTTTGTTTGATCTAAGATTGGTTTAGWCGTATGACAACTCTGATGAGACGCATTATTAGGGTTGTTTTTCTATTTTAGTTTCTTGGGATTGTATAATTGACCTGAATGAAGACACTAACCCGAAGCATATCTCAACCCATCTTGTTGGACTAAACCAATATAACTAGCAGCATAGGTCTAAGTAGTTTGAGTTTGAGCTATATAGTGGTTTGATCAAGCTAATATTTGGTTTGATCCTACTTTAGCCTTTAGCCCAATTCATCCCGACTTGCTTGGTTAGGCAAAACCAAACCAAATGCATTATGACAAAAAATTTGAGCCATTTAATCGTTTTTAGGGTGTGTTTAGGGATGGCAACAGGGCGGGATGGGGCGGGGTTTGCAATCCCCGGCCCCGGTTTATATCCACAGTCCCCGGCCCTGGCTCCTGGCCCCGGTCCCCAGCGGGTACGGGGATTTACTTTTCGGCCCCGGTCAAATTTTGGTCAACCCTCGGTCAACACCCAAGTTATAAAGATCCTTGATTTTCCTAAATCATCTTGGTATATGAAGATCCTTGATTTTCCTAAATCTTAGTGAAATTGGTAAAAATGTTGGAAATATGCAAATGTTACTTATCTACTCTCGTTGTCTAGTATGATTGGTGAGGGGAGAGGGGATTTGGAGGATGTGAGTGTGTGGTTTTTTTCTGTTTGGAGGGGAGGGATTAGTGTTGAAGATAATGAAGACAGTGATCAAGTCCTGTTTTGGCAATTTGAAATATCATAGCAGCTTATCAAATACATGGCAATTAGAACCCACATCACTGTATTCAACACTCAAAAAGAAAAGGCTGACCTCGAAGGCTCGAAGAAGACGACCGGTGGCTGTGGCTCACTGCTGCAATTCGATGAAGAAGAGAAGACGACTGGGTTTGAGTGTTACGGTTTGAGAGTTTGAGTGCTGGCTATGTTGCCGTGTTGGTCGATTACTCCTTGATTGAATCGTGGGTTGTGACGAGGACGAGCCGGCCGACGAGGGTTGTGGGTCTTGTGGACCTGTGGTGTGTGCGGTGAGCCGACGGCGACGAGCCGACGAGGGTTGTGATTTGTGAGTTGTGAGCAGACGTTCGGGAATCGGGACTGCTGTGTGATTGAGATTTGAGAAGAGATGAATCGTGACTTCGTGAGCGTGAGTGCTGTGCGTGACTGCGTGTATCAGTAATTCAGTATATAACCAAAAGCCCAACTGCCCAAGCACCAAAGCCAAGTATATAACCAAAAGCCCAACTGCCCAAGCACCAAAGCCAAAGCCCAAATATGAAATAAGTCAAATAGTCAATATTGAATATACCGGGTACGGGGTGGGTCGGGGGATACAATATCCGGCCCCGGCCCCAACCCCGGTACCTGTTTTAGCGGGGAATCCTTGTCACCGTCTGGGTCGGTGAACCGGGTTCCCCACCGGGTCTGGCCAAATCACCATCCCTAGGTGTGTTTGGTGTCCAAACAGGACAGGACAAGATAGAACAACTGTTCAACGTTTGGTAAGAGAAAACTGGACATAGCAAAACAAGTAAAATAACCAATTTAACCCTAATGAGTTGTTTATTTTAATTAATTTATGTAATTTATTAAATTATAATAGAATAATTATTTTTTATAACAAAATATATCATTTGAAAGTTTTCGTCAAAACAATTAAAATGACACCAAATAAAAAGTTTATGTAGTTTCCAATTTTTATTTTTATCTCTTTTCTACATTATTTTTTATTATTAATATATAATAAATTACATAAATTAATAAAAACCTTATAAAAATAATATTTTAAAGACAGTAAAATGAAAGTTTAAGAAACATAAAATACAATAAATAAAATTTAAAAAATGAATAAAATGTAAAAAGGAGATCTATTTGATGTTTTAGAAGAGAATTAAGTTTTGCTTTGAGATTATATTGATAAAATATAAGTCTGTTTCACCTTGTTCCATGGGGTAGGGATGGAACAGGCCTGTTTCACTTTATTCTTGTCTGTTCCACATAAAAGTCATGTCAAACCTGGGACAGGGATCACTGTCCTGTTCTGTCCAGTGTACCAAACGCACACTTAGTGACACCTTTTGTATGATTTGATCTTGATTTACCTTCTATTCTGACTTAAAACAGGCCCTTGATTAGGGTTTTGGCATTTGAATTGCGTACTGCCTATTTCTTTTACCATAATAACCTCAATCAATCTCGTTAGACTACACCGACGTAATCAAGCTAATATTTGGTTCATCCACTATGTCATAGTAACATAGAAAAAGTTATTAGTTCAAAATTAAAGAAAAAAAGATAGTCGTAAGCCAACAAACTACAAAGACCAAAAAGATTTGAACACCCATTTATTCATCAAAATCTCCTTATTAATCGAAATAACAAAATGGTCTCCCTTTTTCATCTTAACACATGTATCAATAATATAAAAGCTTTCTTTATTATAGCAATGTTGCTTTCATTTTTTAACACAACATTGTACATTCAAATTAATAGGTCATTCGTTGGTATAATGGGTAATTTTTCAATGTATAATGTCATAATAAAGAAAAATCTGAAAGTACAGTGTTATGTTAAAAAAAAGCAACAATGCTATAATAAAGAAAAATCAAAAATAGATATTAAAAAGTTGGTTCAATATTAACTTATTTTTGTTTGTGCAAAACGATTCTATGTAAAAGAGTACATGCCTCCAACCAAACCATTTCTGACATTCCACCCTTGGTTTGTCGTCCTGCTCCCGGGTAATTGCCTTGCTTTATTGCCACTGAAATTCTAGTACGTTTTTTCTTATCATTGTGTTAAGCCACTTTGGTTATTATCCTTCCATTCAAAAAGCTTTAATATTGTTGATACATGTGTTAAGATGAAAAAGGGAGACCATTTTGCTATTATGATGAATAAGGGGGTTTTGATGAATAAATGGGTGTTCAAATCTTTTCGGTCTTTGTAATTTGCTGGCTTACGACTATCCTTTTTTCTTAATTTGAACTCATATTTTCTTCCATGTTAGTATGACATAGAGAATGAACCAAATATTAGCTTGATTGCATTTGGTGTAGTCTAACAAGATTGATTGAGGTAATTAAGGTAAAAAGAAAATGCAGTAGGCAATTCAAATGCCAAAACCCTAATCAAGAGTCTGTTTTAAGTCAAAGATAGAAGGTAAAACAAGATCAAATCATACAAATAGGTGTCATTAAGCCATTATATGGCTCAAACTATTTGTCACAATGCATTTGGTTTGGTTTAGCCTAACCAAGCAATTCGAGATGAATTGGGCTAAAGGCTAAAGAAGGATCAGACCAAATATCAACTTGATCAAACCACTATATAGCTCAAACTCAAACTACTTAGGCCTATGTTGCTAGTTATATTGGTTCAATCCAACTAGATGGGTTGGGGTGCTTCGGGTTAGTGTCTTCATTCAGGTCATTATACAATCCCAACAAGAAACTAAAATAGAAAAACATCCTTAATAATGCGTCTCATGTTAGTTGTCATACGACTAAACCAATATTAGATCAAACAAAGAGGTTTAATCAAATCCCTTTGCCATTCAAAATACTAATAAAAGCTTCAATTCGCGTGTTCTCCACAAATCCAAATAGAGGATGAAATTGGAAATTATGTCCTTCAGACTGTTTGCTCAAAATCCAAAACAAACAACAATTGATCAATTACAGGATAGATGCCTTTATGTGTACATGTCTTAACAAAAAAACAAACAAATAAACTCTTGGTCGTTTAAATTTGAGAAAAATGGATTTAAGGGTAAAAACTTGTAGGTAAATCATTATGTTGTAGTATATGCATCAATTTCTTCTGAAATTCTTATTTGCATGTTATTGGTAGTCTTCAAACAAATAGAGAACGTGACATAGTGAACCATTGAGATTTGGAACAATTTTTAAACTTATGTTGATATATACTTCACCGTAGGGCTTTTCATCGGTTGACATCTATTAGATGTGAAAGGAACCGAAACTGATCCAATCATCCATTGAATGTTGGATTTTTCCAACCTATCCAATCCAATTAAATTGGACAACCAATCCAATCCAATGAATAGTTGAACCGGTTCGGTTCCATCCATTGGATATTATTATTGGACATCCATTGGATTGGATTGAATCCAATCAATATTAATCGGATTGGATTGGACTAGAATCGACATCCAATGGATGATCGGATCTGATCCATCCAATGTTTTAAATCCACTTTACAACAATTCATGTTTTAATATTCTAGAATCTGGAGGTTTATACTGATCAAGTAACCATACTTTATACCAAACGTTGGCCAAGTCATTGTTCATGAAAACAAAAAATACAAACAGTAACTTAATCATATGAAAGCATAACTTTTTAGATGTTTAGTAACAAATGAGTGTCACTCAATGTGTTTTCCATCAAATTTCAAACATTATAGCTCACCATATGATCTATGAAAGCATAACTTTTTAGATGTTTAGTAACAAAATAAGTTCCAAYTATATAACATATTGTCCCAAGAGASGATTCCACTTCATAAGTTTCCATTTTGTTTTCTGATTTTACACCGATTCTATAAAAGCAAAAAAGAAATGACAACAATGAGATTTAGTTAACCTGTAAAAGTTCATGTCTTTACGAGTGAATGACGGCAAAAAAGAAATGTGTGCTTTTGAGGGAAGAAGTGTCATTATTTAGTCTATGAACCCCAAACTAAAAGATTTAGAGATGATCAAATGACAGCAAAAAAAGAAATTTTCTTTGGATCCCAAACTTTCATAGGTTACAAAGTGATAAAAACAACTTAGAATTAGGTCTAAACAACTTACCAAGCTTGAAAGAGAGGTCGTTTTAGAGAGTCTAATCGAGAGAGTACAAAGTAGAGTGCTGCTAACAAGAGATGCGGGACTGTATGCAGCTGCTAATCGCCCGACTGGGGAGCAGTGGTCGGCTTTTCGTGTTGTTGCGGTGCTGCTGCGATGATGAGGCGGTGTTGAGCGGTGGTGCGGCGCCTAATTTGGGTAGTTTAGGGTTTTTCTTTTTCCTCTCCGCTGCCGATTTGAACTTTTCTTTTGAAATTGAGATTTTCAGTTTGGTTTGGTACACGTGGGAAAGGGAAAGTCAGTAATGGTGAGGTCTCCTTTTGTTTTTTAATAACTATATAAATAAATATAATTTTATATTGATTAGATGGTTGGTTGGAAGATACTTGGATGGTTAATTGGTTTGGTTTGGTTTTGATCCGTTTTGGACTGTCATTCAAGAATTGATCGATCCAAATTGGATATTGAAATTTTCGATCCAATCCAATTTAATTACAATTGGATATTCAATCATCGTCGATCGGTTGTAATTGGATCGGTTGACTTTCTGCACACCTCTACTACTCACCATATGGTGCATCTCTTTTTTTTTTTTTTAACCGAGAGAGTATTAATACTCAAGACTCTGAAATGGAAGACATTTAAACTTACCTATTCCAATCGCATGAAAATTGCATTGCCTGATCAAACGTATATCAAATATCTCAAATGCCTTTCATGAATACAAGTAATTGTATTTATGATGACAATAGGCAAACAAGTAATACTCCATCGTTCTCAAAAACAAGTGTAGAGGCAATGTTTGATTGACACATACACGGTTTAATGAAACTCTTTGCATTTTGTTTAGCTGTTAACGGATTCTTTTTGGTTGATTTCGAAAGACTTATTCAGTTTTTTGGTCAATTTAGTAAAAAAATTCAATTTTTAGGATTTGATTCTCTTTATCCTTTACCTTTTTTCTAGGTTTCTAATTTTGTTTCCTTATGCATCTAAAATTTTATTACTAAATATGAT